TACGCAGATATTATAAATATAGATCGAGGCAAGTGGATGGCCGGCGGATTCATAAGTTCGGAACGCTTTCTAACGCAAACTCTACTTATTCGTAAGACAGATTCCCTTACAAGAATCGTCAAGAAACACTAGGATACATTTATGCACATTTAGCATTTATAATACATATTTATTTTAATATGACAGATCAACACCTCCTGCAAGAACTAAATGAGTCACTACCATGGATTTTTATCATCCAAGTACCTAGAAGCTATACAAATGGAAATGGGCAGGCCATATCTGTAGGTTAGATAACAGATGGACAAAAATTACCACATAATGGACCCCAAGAGACGGAAAAAGAAGCCAAGGTAGATCAAAGAAAATATGGAGAGACGTCTTCACAGAAAGAATTGGATCATATTGGATGGCTACAGCGAGAGAAAGAGAAGAGTGGAGAGAACTAGCGGAGGCCTACGCCGTAGAGGCAACTACTGCGTTAAATTAGTAGTTTGTTTGAGTTTAATTTCTTTTATTTATTAAAAAAACAAATGTATGTTAAGTGTAGTAGAATAAAGGCTATTTTTATTTTATTACACAAAAGCTGTAATCTTAAACTTTAATTGACTTTTTACTGAGATATATAGTTTCTATAACACCACTAATGAACTGTTGACATTTAACCGGTGCAATTGAGGCGCGTAGTAAATAAATGCTACGTATAAAATTAGACGCGTTCACTCACCCGCGCGGTCCGCCCCAACCGTCTCCCAGTGTAGTTGCGCATTGACAATTTTGGCCCTTATTAACCGGTTGTACGTACCACTGCTGTGGGTCTCTTTTAAGGAGAGGGTTTAGGCAAGAGGTGGGCGAACTTGTTTCTTTATGGGCCAGAAAAACAAAAAAATTCACAGAGGGTCAGAATTAACAATAGAGCTCTGTGTGGAAGTACTGCCACCTTACCTTCCGTGTTCGTTTTTGAACGTAATGCAAACATTTCCGAGCATGTTTGAGAAATAGTACATTATTGCAGACACCGGGAAGTTGCTGAACGAGTATGTGTTACAAGAACGAGCGACAGCGAGGCCTTGTATTAATACGAGTAAAGCAATCCCCGTTTCCGCCGAGGCATGTATAGTATTTTTCTCACACAATGTCAGGAAATAATAACAGACTAAAAAGAGAAAGATGTACAATAGAAAAAGTAAAAAAATATTAATTAAACTATTTTTCCGGATTCAAATCGCGTATATTTGTTTTTTCAAAGAAACCGACGGCGACGTTTCGGGCCCATGGTCACGGTTGAGTTAACCGTGACCATGGGACCTGTAAAGAGCCCGAAACGTCGGTTTGTTTGAAAAAACAAATATACGCGATTTAAATCCGGAAAAAAAGGTTTCATTTCCTATGTGTAACAATGGCGAAAACCTAAGAACTCGAAATATTAATTAACATTAAAATTTGTATACAATGCAATTGCTAAGAGAAAATATTATTGTTTTTCCAGACACATTAATAGTAGTCTGCTGAACTTCTGATGACGTGTTTGAATGTGTATCTATTACTATATTTTTGTTATCGCTCCTTTCACTAGCACTCATTTTCGCTTACTATATTTTTGTTATCGCTCCTTTCACTAGCACTCATTTTCGCGACCAAAATACAAAAAAAGATGACAAAACAAAAGAATACCAAAACACTTTAGTTTAAATGTTACCGCCATTTTCTTTTTTTTAATTAAGCGGTATAAGTAGGTATTTTTAGTTCTCGCAACCATGAACACCGGGCAGTTAGCTGTATGACTTTTTCTTTTGCCTGTTTACATAGTTCATTATTAGTAAGTAGATTTAAAAGTTTAGAGAAGATAACAGTAATGGTTTTCATACTTTGCAGGCGTTGGCCGGGAAGAAGTCGCATGGTCCATAAATGACAAACTTCCCGTGTTCGTTTTTTGAACGTAATGCAAACATTTCCGAGCATGTTTGAGAAAATAAATATTATTTTCGGTTATTAAATACCCTTACGACACTGCTAATAATTCCGTAACATAAATACTATAAACAAGTTGTAACTCGTAGAAAACTTAAAATAGCAACAGCTATTAAGGTAGGTACAACGAACGGAGCCATAAATTGTCTTAGAAAGGCTAACTGGGTCACAGGAGACACGTCCGGTTGTTTATTTTGACAACACAAATAGATTCAAATAAACATACAAAATTGATTAGTGATGAAGAAAGATGGTAGCCCAGTGGAAGACCGTCTGGTTGCTTTTTAATTTAGAAATGACAGTTCGACTCCATGTTGCAGCATGTACCTGTGGCTTTCATTTCTAAGTAACTTTATTTTATATTTAACCGACTTCAAAAAAGGAAGATACTTTCAATTCGACTGTATTTTTCTTTATGTGTATGCTACTCGATTACACTGTAAATCTGTAAACTGATTTTGATGATTATTTTTTGTTGGAAAGATACTTCAGTATAGGTCCCATTTACTTTTTATTTTATTATTAACTGCCTCCGTGGCCGAACGGTTACCATGCCGGACTGCCACGCAGAGGTCCCAGGTTCGATTCCCGGGCCGGGAGAAATGTTTGTATGGCCTACATTTATTTCTCTCGTGAGTTTGGGTGTAATTTGTGGTTGTCTATGTGTGCGTCCATGGCACCTGCGACACAGGGTTTCCCTAGTGCGGGGCTATGTTGAGTGTGAGCGTTGTTATTATTATTATTATATTATTTAAATTTGAAGAAAATATTCCACTTCTAAGGGTGGCAAACTAGGGAAAGAATCCGGTTTCGCGCACTTTCCGGTAACCGATTTCCATGACAGTTGCAGTGTCACTCAAAGCTTTAAATCGCAATGTTTTTTTTTATGTTACCAAATGACAAGAGACATGCGCCTGGTGGTAAGCAACACGCAAGTCCTTAGCAATTGCAGTACCACTGAGAACTTCAAATTGCAAAGATCTGAGGCGCACTGCCACTGCGACCGTTACCCTTAGACATAAGTTCACAAATCTCATGTGCCTGTAATTATACCATCACCCTTACCCTTCAAAACAGGAACGCAGTAATG